TTGCATTTCTACACACTAACAATGTGACTGAAGAAAGAAATTAAGGAATTGATCCCATTTACAATTGCACCAAAAACCATAAGATACCTAGGAATAAACCTAACCAAAAAAGTAAAAGACTTGTACTCCAGAAACTATAGAATAAATATAAAAGAAATTGAGGAAGACACAAAGAGAAGGAAAAAGCTTCCATGCTTATGAATTGGAAGAATAAACATTGTGAAAATGTCTGTGCTGTCCAGAACAATCTACAGATTCAATGCAATCCCTATCAAAATGCCATCAACATTTTTCACACAGCTGGAAAAAACAATCTTAAAATTTGTACAGAATCAGGAAAAAAAAACCTGAATAACCAAAAGAATGTTGAAAAAGAAAACCAAAGCTGGGGACATCACAATGCCTGACTTCAAACTATATTAGAAAGCTGTGATCATCAAGATAACATGGTATTGGCACAAAAACAGACATATAGATCAATGAAACAGAATAGAGACCCCAGAAATGAACCCTCAAGTCTATGGTCAACTAATCTCCAACAAAGCAGGAAAGACTATCCAATGGAAAAAGGACAGTCTCTTCAACAAATGTTGTTGGAAAAATTGGACACCTACATGCGAAAGAATGAAAATGGACCATTCTCTTACACCATACACAAAGATAAACTCAAAATGGATGACAGTCCTAAATGTGAGACAGGAGTCCATCAAAATCCTAGAGGAGAACACAGACAGTAACCTCTTTGACCTTGGCCACAGCAAGTTCTTCCAAGACATGTCCCTAAAGGCAAGGGAAACAAAAGCAAAAATTAACTTTTGGGACTTCATGAAGATTAAAAGCTTCCGCACAGCAAAGGAAGCATCAACAAAACTAAAAGGCAGCCTATGGAATGGGAGAAGATATTTGCTGTCGATGTCAGATAAAGGGCTAGAATCTAAGATCTATAAAGAACTTATCAAACTCAACACCCAAAATAAATAAATAATAACAATCCAATCAAGAAATGGGCAGAATACATCAACAGACATTTCTCCAAAGAAGACATCCAAATGGCCAACAGATAGATGAAAAAATGCTTCACATCCCTTGTCATTGGGGAAATACAGTGAAAACCACAATGAGATACTACCTCACATCTGTCAGAATGGCTGAAATTAACAAGCCAGGAAACAACAAATGTTGGAGAGGATGTGGAGAAAGGGGAACCCTCTTACACTGTTGATGGGAATGCAAGCTGGTACAGGCCACTCTGGAAAACAGTATGGATGTTCCTCAAGAAGTTAAAAATACAGGGGCGCCTAGGTGGTTCAGTGGGTTGAGCCTCTGCCTTCGATCGGGTCATGATCTCAGGGTCCTGGGATCAGGCCCGGCATTGGGCTCTCTGCTAGGCAGGGAGCCTGCTTCCCCCTCTCTCTGCCTGCCTCTCTGCCTACTTGTAATCTCTCTCTCTCTGTGTCAAATAAATAAATAAAATCTTTAAAAAAAAAAAATAGAGCTACCCTATGACCCAGCAATTGCATTACCGGGTATTTACCCCCAAAAATACAGATGTAGTGAAAAGAAGGGGCACCTGAATCCCAATATTCATAGCAGCAGTCTGCAATAGCCAAACTGTGGAAGGAACTGAGATGCCCTTCAACAACAGATGAATGGATAAAGGAGATGTGGTACATACATACAATGGAATATTACTCAGCCATCAGAAAGAATGAATACCTACCATTACATGGACATGGATGGAACTGGAGGGAATCATGCTAAGTGAAATAAGTCAGTCAGAGAAAGACAATTATCATATGGTTTCACTCATATATGGAACATAAGGAATAGCAGGGAAGACCACAGGGAAAGGGAGGGAAAACTGAATGGGAAGAAGTCAGAGAGGGAGACAAACCATGAAAGACTCCGGACTCGGGGAAACAAACTGAGGGTTACAGAAGGCAGAGTGTTGGGGGAATGGGTTAGTTAAGTGATGGATATTAAGGAGGGGACATCTTGAGATGAGCACTGGGTGTTATACGAAACTAATGAATCACTGAACACTACGTCAAAAACTAATGATGGTGGCTAACTGAACATAATAAAAAAATGTATTTCCTTTATATGCCATGGTTAATACGATTATAAACGAATTAATCAATTTATAAAGCTGTTTTATTATTACTATGGCAAATATTGATAAATAAAACCCACAGACACACGATTATCCTTGGGATCTTCAATAATCTGTGAGACTGTATATGTAGATATCCTGTGAACAGAATGTTTGAGAATCACTGACTCACACAGTTCAGGGAGACAGTGTGACAGAGAGTGCTCTGTGCCATAGGCGTGGGGTCCGCACAAGTCCCAGGTCCCTTGGCCTGCCTTTCAGGGTAGGAGGCAGTGGGGCGAAGTCTGGGGCCAAGAAGCCCAGCAATGCGGAGCCCTCATCTCCCAGGGTTTCACTTCCCCTCAAAGCTTGTCTTGGGTCCTTCTGCCTGGATACCCATGACACACCCCCAGTTCGCATTCCCATTGGGTGTCAGATTTCTGGAGTGGCCAATCACCGGCACTGCAGTTCCGGGTTCTAAAGTCTCCTCCGAACCCAGCTGCGACTGAACAGTTTACCCAGACCGGGAAGATGCAAGTCGTGATGCCCCAAACCATCCTCCTGCTGCTCTGGGGGGCGCTGGAGGTGACCAAGACCTGAGCAGGTGAGTGCCAGGAGGGAGGAAAATCCCTCTGCGGGGCGGAAGCGAGGGGACCCCCGGGAGGGGACGCGGGACACCGGGGAAGGCGCCTCTCCCGCCCCAGACCCCCAGCCGCCCCCGCCCCCGCCCCAACCTGTGATCCCCGTCCCTCCCCGCCTCCGCCTGCTCTCCCCCACTCCGTGTCCCCTCCCCCTACCCTCCCGGCCGCCTCCACCTGGGCCCCCGGCCCTGCGCCGGGAGGAGGGTTGGGCGGGGTCTCAGCCCCTCCGCGCCCGCAGGCTCCCACTGCATGAGGTATTTCTACACCGTGGTGTCCGGGCCCCGTCGCGGGGAGCCCCGCTTCATCGTCGTCGGCTACGTGGACGACACGCAGTTCGTGCGGTTCGACAGCGACTCTGCCAGTCTGAGGGCTGAGCCCCGGGTGTCTTGGATGGGCCATATGGGGCCGGAGTTTTGGGACCGGGAGACCCGGAAAATCAAGGACACCGCACGGACTTTCCGAGTGAACCTGAACACCCTGCGGGGCTACTACAACCAGAGCGAGGCCAGTGAGTGACAGGGCCGGGTGCAGGTCACGACCCCGCATTCCCCACCCATGTTCACAGGGAATTGAGAGAACCCTAACGGGAACTCTGGCCCTCCCCGAACCAGCGGTAACGTTTAGGCGGTTTTACTTGTGTTTGGACTTAAACCGGCCTGTTGGGGCGGGGAGGGTCTCACACCTACCAGGCATGTATGGCTGTGACGTGGAGCCGGAGGGGCGCCTCCTCCGTGGGTACAATCAGGACTCCTACGGTGGTAGGATTACATCGCCCCGAGCCAGGACCTGCGCTCCTGGACCGCGGCGGACACTACGTCGCAGATCACCCGCAGCAAGTGGGAGGCCGCTGGTGACTCGGAGCTCTATAGGAACTACGAGGAGGGCAGGTGTGTGGAGTGGCTCCCCAGGTACCTGGAGAACCCAAAGGAGACCCTGCAGCGAGCAGGTACGAGGGGCCACGGGGGCCTCCCTGCTCCCCCCTCCCCTGGGGCTGGCTTCCCACCAGGGAGAGGAAATGGACTCAATGTCAGAACACCGCCCTCCCACTGGTGGGGAGAGGGAGGTCCGCCTGGGTGTTCAGGTTCCTACTGGAGAGTGACTCACCCAGAGGGCTGCTTTTCTCTAAAGGACAATTGAGGAATCCAGTCTCTCCCAGGAGGCAGGTGGAGACCATTCCTGAAATAACCCATCAGTCTTTCCCTTTAACCCTGGCAGCTACCTTGGAAACCATGACTTTCCCCTCTCAAGGCCTTTTTCTCCAATGATAGCATCTTTGGGGTCCCGGCTCTGGGTTTCCTGACTCATTCACCTGCACCACAGTCAGGACCACTAGTGCGGTCTCCCTCATAGACCTCCTACCCTGGGTCCTCTCCCTGATTCTAGAATTCCTAGATTAGGAGATCCCAAAAGTTAGGTTGATAACTGGGCTTTGTGCTTCTTCAATCCAAAACAGTGGCCCAGGGTTGGTGGTATAGTGGTGAGCATACCTGCCTTCCAAAACAGTGGCCCTGGTCACATGAATGCCCTTTCAGTGGCCCATAAAGGTAAGCCCGAGTGTGGTGGATTTTCTGATTCTCTTCCTCAGAAACCCCCAACACACATGTGATAATCTCTGACCGTGATGTCACCCTGAGGTGCTGGGCCTTGGGCTTCTACCCTGCAGAGATCACCCTGATCTGACAGCAGTGAGGGAGAGGACCTGATCCAGGAAACAGAGCTTGTGGAGACCAGGTCAGCAGGAGATGGAACTTTCCAGGAAGTGGGTGGTTGAGGTGGTGCCTTATGGAGCAGAACAGAGATACACATGCCATGTACAGCATGAGGGGCTGCCCGATCCCATCACCTGGAGATGGGGTAAGGAGGGTTTGGGGTCGAGCCTCTTCTCAGGGAAAGCAGAAGGCCTTCTGGAGAATTTCAGCAGGGTCAAGATTCAAACTAGAGGTCTGGGGCCCCCACTGTCCCTTCCCTTTCCAGAGCTGCCTCCTCCCACCATCCCCATCATGTGGATCATTGCTGGCCTGGCTCTCCTTGTGGTTACTGTGGCATTTGGAGCTGTGATCTGGAGGAAGAAGCGCTCAGGTAGGGAATGGAGTGGGGGGATCTGAATTTCTTATCCCACTGGGGGTTTCCTAGGTAGCAGACCATCCTGCCTTGTAACTGGAAAGTACCATCCTTGCACATGTACTTGCCCACTCTGGAGCCGATCACTAACACTGACTCTGTAGCAAACACTTGTGACAATGAAGGATACATTTTCATCTTGGCAGTTCTGGTGATGGGGACCTGACTCCCAGCAGTCACAGGACAGAGAGGAAGGATCCTGCTGAGAACAGACCTCCAGCAAGTCAGGTAACCCAGTGACCCCACACCTCATTCTTCGTGTTTCCTGATCCTGTCCTGGGTCTTCAGGCACAATTCTGGAAACTTCATTTTCAACCAGGACTAGGAGTTTCCTCTAGGATCTCATGGCCTCGCCCTATCCTCGGCCTCTAACATGGTATTTTCTTCCCACTGGAGGAAAAGTACCAGCCCCATACCAGGTTCCTTGCTCAGCAGGGAGTCTGCCTCTCCTTCTCTCTCTGCCCCTCCCCCTGTTCGTGCTCTCTCTCTCACTCTCTCAAATAAATAAATAAAATATTAAAAATAAATAAATAAATAAATAGGGTGCCTGGGTGGCTCAGTGGGTTAACCCTCTGCCTTCAGCTCAGATCATGATCTCAGGGTCCTGGGATCAAGTCCTGCATCGGGCTCTCTGCTTGGCAGGGAACCTGCTTCCTCCTCTCTCTCTCTCTGCCTTCCTCTCTGCCTACTTGTGAACTCTCTCTATCAAATAAATAAATAAAATCTTTTTTGAAAATAAATAAATAAATAATAAAAATCATTCCAGTTTAGACCCTGTGCAACTCCATCTCTGGTCCATGAACAGCTGATAATCAGACTGTTTTTAGCAGATCCAATGATGTGATATTCATGCTCAGTTTTGCTTGGCAATGACCAGTCTCAGACAGGAGAAGGTAGAGCTTTCTGGCTTTACACTCACTTTCAACTTCTGTGTGTACTTTCTGTGGGCTGAGGAACAGTTCCCAGACCAGGGCTGACTCATTGTAGACACAGATCAGCACTGGTTTAGGTGACTTACACTCTAGCACCTGCTCTGGTGCCAGATAAACAGCAGAAATGAAAACATAGTTAATTGGGATGCCGTCTCCAATAACATGGTAGACTTAAGTTTTAAGGCTGACTTTCCCCCTAAAAACAAGTAAAAATGATAGATAAAATAGGACAAATAGCCAAGAATGTAGTAGAACAAGCAGGAGAATAATCATTTAGGCCAAAATATGAATTTAGGCAATAAATCAGGGAGAAATATTGTTCTGATCCTTTAGGCATTTTTTCAAGTCTAGAAAACCTTAGCTTGGCTTCTCAAGTTCATGAGCTTAGTAGACAGGAAATGATGCCCAGAGCTTGTTCATGTGAGGAGCATGAAAGACACCCCCTCCCTGAAAATCTGGGAAACAGGTTCATATCCTCAGAAAAGGGCAAAACATCAAAATCTTCTGTGTCTTCAAGTACAAGAGTACTCTAAGGAAATTTGCCTTTGAGTCAGCTAAAAGAGCAAACAACAATTTCAAAGAATTTGTAATCATGGACTACTCCTTCTGTGATTTGTAGTCCAAATTTGCTTTATCATTGGCCATTGGGCCAAAATCATGTCATTAGTTTAGTTGATAATTGTCGTGGATTGGTGATTGCCCAGAAATTGCAAGAAAGAAACAAACTGGGTCGCCTGAGTAGCTCAGTCAGGCATCTGCCTTCAGCTCAGGTCGTGATCCTGAGGTCCTGAGATCGGGCCCTGTGTGAGCTCCTTGCTCAGCAGGGAGACTGCTTCCCCCGTGCCTGCTGCTCCCCCCTGCTTGTGCTCTCTCTTTCTCTCTCTGACAAATAAATAAATAAAATCTATTTTTTTTTTTTAAAGAAAGGAAACAAACTTAACTTCAGGGCAAACAACTGGTTCAGATGGCAGAGCAGGCAACTATTGATCTTGGAGTCATGAGTTTAAGCACCCTGTTGGACATAGAGCTTACTTTAAAAAAACAGAGTCCCGGGATCGAGTCCCGCATCGGGCTCCCAGCTCCATGGGGAGTCCGCTTCTCCCTCTGACCTTCTCCTCGCTCATGCTCTCTCTCACTGCCTCTCTCTCAAAAAAAAAAAAAAAAAAAAAAAAAAAAAAAAAAAAAAAATCTTTAAAAAAATGAAATAAAATATTAAATTTAAAAAATTATTTTTTAAAAATGACAAATTTCTGTAGAAAATCTATATTTAACTTATGTGCCAAAAAATTTACATTAACAGGGTACCTGGGTGGCTCAGTGGGTTAAGCCTCTGCCTTCAGTTCAGGTCATGATCTCAGGGTCCTGGAATGGAGCCCCGCATTGGGCTCTCCACTCAGCAGGGAGTCTGCTTCCCCTCTTCTCTCTCTCTGCCTGCCTTTCTGGCTACTTGTGATCTCTCTGTGTCAAATAAATAAATAAAATCTTTAAAAAAAAAAATTTACAGAAACAGGGGCCCCTGGGTGGCTCAGTCAGTTGAGGGTCAGACTCTTGGTTTCTGCTCATGTCATGATCTGAAGTGTCATGGGATCAAGCCCTACATGGGGCTCCGAGCTCAGTGAGGAGTCTGCTTCTCTCTTTCCCTCTATGCTCCCCCTGCTTGTCTTCCCTATCTCAAATAAATAAAGAAAATCTTTTTAAAAAAAAAGATAAGTAAAAATTAAAAAAAGAAAATGTAGAAAAACAGCAAAAAACACCTCTTTAAAAAAACTATGAAATATAGTGATAAATCATTAGATGTTGAAAAATATTACCATATAGGGGTGCCTGCGTGGCTCAGTGGGTTAAAGCCTCTGCCTTCAGCTCAGGTCATGATCCCAGGGTCATGGGATCAAGCCCTGTATCTGGCTCTCTGCTCAGCAGGGAGACTGCTTCCTCCTCTCTCTGTGCTTGTCTCTCTGCCTGTCAAATAAATAAAATCTTTAAAAAAATAAATAAGTAAAATAAAATAAAATATTACCATATAAAATATTCACCTAATAAAAAGTAATCAGTAAAAGAGTGGAAGCATAGAAAACAAAAAACAAGAGGTAAAATGGCATCATAAATCCAAGTGCATCAGTATCAACATTACATGTAAATGGATTAAATAAGTCATTCAAAGTGCAGATTGTTGGCCTGCAAACAAAACAAGATTCAGCTATGCTGTCTGCAGTAGACACATTTGAAATTCAAATATAAATAGATTAAAATTAAAGGGTCAGGGGAGGCCTGGATGGCTCAGTTGACCCTTTAAAAAAGCGTCTGCTTTTGGCTCTGGTCATGATCCCAGGGTCCTAGGATCCAGCCCTACATAAGCTCCCTGCTCAGCAAGGAGCCTGCTTCTCCCTCTCCCTCTAACCCTTCTCCCTCCACTCCCCCACTTGTGATCCCTCTCTCTCAAATAAATTAATTAAATCTTTAAAAAAAAATTAAAGGGATGGAAAAGATTTTTTTTTAAAGATTATTTGACAGAGAGATCACAAGCAGGCAGAGCAGCAGGCAGAGAGGAAGGGGGAAGCAGGCTGAGGGGGAAGCAGCGGAGAACCTGATGTGGGGCTCCATCCCAGGATCCTGAGACCATGACCTGAGTCAAAGGCTGAGGCTTAACCCACTAAGCCACCCAGACTCCCCAGGGATGGAAAAATTTATCTTAGGCAAATAACCATAGAAAAGTTGGAATGAGGGGTGCCTGAGTCATGCAAATGGTTAAGCGTCTGACTCTTGGTTTCGGCTTGGGTTGCGATCTCAGTGTTGTGAGATCAACCCACACCTCAGGCTCCACGCTCAATGCAGAGGCTGCTTAAGACTCTCTCACCCTCTCCCTCTGCCCCTCCCCAGTGTATCTCTCTCTCTCTCTCTCTCTCAAATAAATAAATCTTAAAAAGAAAGAAAGAAAGAAGGAAGGAAAGAAAGGAAGGAAGGAAGAAAGCAAGCAAGCAAGCAAGCAAGCTAGCTGGGGTGGATACACTCATTAGACAAAAGGAGCTTTAAAAATACTAGTAAGATGGACAGTGTCATTTTATAATGATAAAAGGGTCAAATCATCAGAAAGATGAAACAATTATAAACTTATATTCACCTAATGACTCAGCACTACATACATGAAAGCAAAATTGACAAAAATTGAGAGAGAAATAGATAATACGACAATAAGTCAGGAACTGCAATGTATCACTTTCAATAATGAATAGAATAACTATGCAGAGATCAATAAACATAAAGAAGACTTGAACCATACTATAAACCCAAACTAGAAATCTGACACTTATAGAATGCTCCACCAGTCAACAGTATATACATTCTTTTCAAATGCACGTGGAGCTTTCTTGAGGATAAACCAAATGCTAGGCCATAAAGCAAACCTCCGTGAATTTTGAAGGGTAAAAATAATAGAAAAAAATCTTTTCTTATCATAGTGTCATGATACTAGAAATCAATAAATGGAAGAAATTTGGAAAACTCACAAATATGCAGAATTTAACAGCACACTTCTACATAATCAAAGGGACAAAGAAGTATCAAAATGAAAATCAGAAAGTACTTTGAGATTAACAAAAATGAAGCCAGGGCATACCAAAACCTCAAGGATGCTACTAAAGCAGTGCTGAGAGGCAAATATATAGCTGTAAATGCTTATATTAAAAAAGAAACATCTCAGAGGTGCCTGGGTGGCTCAGTGGGTTAAGTGTCTGACTCTTAATTTGGGTTCAGGTCATGATCTCAGGGTTGCAAGATTGAGTCCTGCATTGGGCTCAGTGATGAGTGTGGAGCCTGCTTGAGATTCTCCCTCTCCCTCTGCCCCTCCTCCCCTTGCTTGCGTGCATCCACATGCACGTGTGTGTGTGTGTGTGTGTGTGTGTACTCTCCCTCTCTCTCTCAAAAAAAGAAAAAGGAAAGGATTATCTCAAATCAATTACCTCACCATCTATACTAAGTCAAAGAAAAAAGAGAAGCAAACTAAACCAAATGGAAGGAAAAAGTAAAGAATAGAGTGGAAATTAATGAAATAGAGAAAATAATAAAATAACTATATAAAACTAAATCACGTGATCCTTTGAAAGATCAACAAAACTGACAAATCTTCAACTAAACTCAAAAAATAAAAAAGAGAGAAGTCTCAAATTACTAGGGTCAGCAGTGAAAGAGGAGATATTATGACTGACTATACAGAAATAAAGAGAAATTGTGCGATTATGATGAACTATTATATTCCAAAATATCAACTTACTTAGATAAAATAGACAAATTCATAGAAAGACACAAACTACTAAGGATGAATCAGAGGAAACAGACAATTTGAATATATCTATAACAAGGTAGAAGATTGAGTCAACTGTCAAAAACTATTCAGCAAGGGCACGTGGGTGGCTCAGTGGGTTAAAGCCTCTGCCTTCGGCTCAGGTCACAATCCCAGGGTCCTGGGATTGAGCCCCGCATTGGGCTATCTGCTCAGCAGGGAGCCTGCTTCCCTTTCTCTCTGCCTGCCTCTCTGCCTACTTGTGATCTCTCTCTGTCAAAT